AACACTAGCTGCACCACAGCTGCACTGCTAGAAACTGAACCGCGCTAACACGCCATCATCATCAACAACAACAACAACAACAACAACAACAACAACAACAACAACATCATCATCATCATCATCATCATCATCATCCTTATCATCATCATCATCATCATCATCTCCATCATCCTCTTCTCTGTTATCACCGAAATCATCATCGGCACTTCTAAAATCTTTTCTTTCCTGTTGACGTCCCAATCCCTGAGAGAAAGGCAAGTACAACAATCTGCAAAGATTCATTTATCAAAGCAATCATTCCTTTTAATTTTCAGTGTCTTCTAAAGACGCTAGCAGGCTTCTATCTGCCTCGGCGACCTTCACCATGTTGATGTAAAAGTGCCTTGGACTCTCCTGTCATCGTAAAACTTTCATTCTCACGCCAATCTCCTCCCTCCCATTCTCTCTTCCTCCACTCTGGCACTCTCCCATTCCCCTTCCTCCTTTCTCAGCTGCTATTTCAAACATCACTTCACCTCGTCGGATCCGTCTCGAAACACCTGCTCGTCTCCCCGTCACTCCTCTCCCTCCCCTCACACCACCACAAGCTCCTCACCCGCACACTCTGCAACGTTCCCATAGGCGTGGTCGTGAACCTCCGAGAGAAGTAGCAGATTCTGCATCCAGCACGTCTCAGATCGCCTCGTCCATGAGTGCATCCCTACCCCGTCGACGAGTGCAGGTATAGCATCGTAACTTTCAACAAGTCTTCCTCGCCCTGATTATGTACAAACCCGTGAACGTTGGTGTCTGCAGGGCGCTCGTCAGCCCATAGAAGCTTCTTCCCTTCGTCACGTACTCTCATCGCCCAGCTCTGTTTCGCCTCCATCATACGCCATCTTCATGACTCGTTTCCAGTTCGACTTGAAGCCTCCGACAAGCTGTGCGACAAACAACTCCCGTGAGTCACGATCACCTCCTCCTCCACCACCACCTTCTCCTCCTCCTCCACTTCCTCCTTCTCCTCCTACCTGAGGCAGCCTCATCCGAACGTAGTAATCGACGAAAGGGTTATTCTCCTCGTCCATCCCCAGTGAAAGATGGGTGTCTGCCAGCCTGCTCATGTACGTTGCGAAGGAGCTCCCTGCAAAAACATCCCTGATTCAGTCTTTTGATCCCAGTCCCCTCCCGGAGTGTGTTTGCTAACTCCCCCAGCACTTTTCCTGATTCTATCCAACACAACCGTTCACGTCCAGTGAGCACTGAATCCCTCTAAACAATCTCTTTCAAACCGGGATTCTATCTCACCAAGGCTCTGCATGCTTCCTCGTACTCTCTCCATGATGCTCTGTGACGCGTGATCCGTCGATAACACCTTCAGCGCCTCCATCATGAAGCCCCTGCACGAAACACTCTCCATTACCTCCATCTCACCGCCACTACCTGTCCTCACCGGCTCTCTGATACCAGCCCCCTCAGCGCCTGGTCGATGTCGTACGCGCACGCGTTCGACGTCCCCGGGTCTCTCCGCACTACCATGCAGAACTTCCCTACAAGATCTCCTGGCCACGCGTGCCTCACCTCCGCCTCCTCCTGTGCCTCCAGTACGAACACGCCTTCCCCCATGCACGACACATGCGCCGGTATCACCCGACACCTGATCACGTTCAAGCACACCATCCCCTCCCTCGAAAACGTCCGCAGGTCTACGAAGAAGGGCCCCACCCCCTCCCCCCGCATCACCGCCTGCCCAGCCGCTCGTAGCACGTCCAGGCTCTCGTTCTCGACCAGATGGAGGAAGCACTGTCCTTCCTGTCCCAACAGTCATGCGCCTCGTCAGACACCTACTCAACCCCCTTCCCTGCATCCCTCCTTCCTTCCCCCACGCTGATCTTCTTTCCCTTCCTGCCTTCCGCCCATGTACTCTCTCTTCCCTCTGCTTACCAGCCTCCACAGCGGCGATCGCACGTAGTACCCCTCTAGCCCCACGCTCCCGCACTTGATCCTCCAGCTCGGTAGCTCCACCGACACGATCCTCTCCCTCCGGCTCGACATGACCCTCGCCGTCGCTTCCTCCAGCGACACGCCGGGCTTTCGCTCCTTCCTGCTCGCCCGAGACGACGCCGGCATGGCCCGCAAGTGCGTCACCAGGTCCTCCAGCAGGTGCAGCAGCGTCCTCCGAGACGGCAAGCTCCCCCTCAGCTCGCCCAAGCTCCTCTCCCCCTGGGGTATGAGGGGGTCGAGGACGTCGAGGAGCTTCTTGGTTTGCTCGCGGGTGACCAGAGCATTCTGCTTGTCCCTCGCTTTCTTGCGGCCGAGGTCTCTTCCTCTTCCGCGCTCCATGCCGGGGCTTGCAGGTGCTAGTGGTCCATATCTACCTGTCATGTCAGTGTCAGAAGTACTTTTGACTTGTCTTGGCCTGAGCGCAGTAGGAGGGAGGGAGGCAGTGTAATGATAGAAGGAGGGAGGAAGGGAAAATAGGAAAGGGGAAGGAGAGGGAAAATGGGTGGGTGATGCAAACAATTATGCCATGTAAGTACTGGTGTGCATGCGCATAGCGGTGGTGATGGTAAACTTTGCATTTTTGTAGGGTTTCATCTCCCCATTCTGTGGTCGTCTCCTCTGTTGCCAGGTTCAGGAGCTGTTCTCTGTTCGTCACAGTCCTCCTCTACTCTTTGCTTCTCCTTCCTCCTACGGCCCTCGGTCACCGTCGCCGCTTCATTCTACTAAAAGTTGCATCGTAAACTTTTCCCCATATCCATTTTACGGGATCAAAGTATTACTTATCATTATCATCAGTACAACCGTGCTACCCCTCCGCCTCAGGATGTTTCTTTTTCAGTCAATAAAGAGGATACTCGAATGCATCCTGCCGGGCCCAGTCAGTGAGCAGTCCGATACTCAACGCCGGTCACCGGGTGCCAGTCAGTGCTTGTTTGCTGAGGGATGCAAAGGTACTTGCTCAACACCCGTGACCTTGTCACAGGAAGTCCACGTCGTGATACTCCTGGGCCTGCGCTCCCGGCAGTGAGTCGATTTTTCAGATTGAAATCTTTGTTTTGGGAAGTTGCGCCGGATCCGACTTTAAATCATGTAAGCTCCGCAGTCGAACTTCGGAAGTTGAACTTCTGTATCATTTCTACACACTCACCGTCAATTATCTCAGTATTATTACAACTCCTCTAGAGACGCTAGCAAGCTTCTGTCCTCCTCGGCGACCTTCACCATGTTGATGTAAAAGCGCTTCGGACCCTCCTGAAAAGTTGGCAATATTCCGCGTCAGAACAAGCTCAGTTCTCTTTCAGGCTCAATCTACGGTCCCCTCCCGCGGTCCCGACTGACTAACGAATATTTCTCACCTCGTCGGATCCGTCTCGAAACACCTGCTCGTCTCCCCGTCACTCCTCTCCCTCCCCTCACCCACCACAAGCTCCTCACCCGCACACTCTGCTGTATCCCCATAGGCGTGGTCGTGAACCTCCGAGAGAAGTAGCAGATTCTGCATCCAGCACGTCTCAGATCGCCTCGTCCATGAGTCGTGATGGCACATCGCATACCCCGTCGACGAGTGCAGGTACAACAATGTCGTGTAGAGTGACTCCTCTCCAACTTTGGAGACCACGAAACCATAGACCTTCGTGTCTGCAGGGCTCTCGTCATCCTACAGAAGCTTCTTCCCTTCGTCACGTACTCTCATCGCTCAGCTCTGTCGCGGCTCCGCTCAATGAAAGCTTCATGACTCTTTTCCAGTTCGACTTGAAGCCTCCGACAAGCTGTGCGACAAACAACTCCCGTGAGTCAATATCACCTCCTCCTCCACCACCACCTTCTCCTCCTCCTCCACCTCCTCCTTCTCCTCCTCCTCCTCCTTCTACCTGAGGCAGCCTCATCCGGATGTGGAAGTTGATGTAGAAATTGTTCTCCTCGTCCATTCCCAGCGATAAGTGCGTGTCTGTCACCTTGGCCATACACACAAAGAAAGCTCGTCCTAGAGCAACAGCACATTACAAAACAGAAGAGAAAATAGATTCAGTCCCAACACCATTCCTTCCTTGATCCTGAACATTGACAACAACACAAAACGCCATCCTCCCAAATAACCAAAGATCCCCGTCAGTGCCGAACCTATGGTCTGCATGCTTCCTCGTACTCTCTCCATGATGCTCTGTGACGCGTGATCCGTCGATAACACCTTCAGCGCCTCCATCATTGGAACTCTTGACATGCAACGTGTAAGTGACCTCATTCCCCTAAGTCCCTCCTCCTTGCTCTCACCGGCTCTCTGATACCAGCCCCCTCAGCGCCTGGTCGATGTCGTACGCGCACGCGTTCGACGTCCCCGGGTCTCTCCGTACTACCATGCAGAACTTCCCTACAAGATCTCCTGGCCACGCGTGCCTCACCTCCGCCTCCTCCTGTGCCTCCAGTACGAACACGCCTTCCCCCTTGCACGACACATGCGCCGGTATCACCCGACACCTGATCACGTTCAAGCACACCATCCCCTCCCTCGAGAACGTCCGCAGGTCTACGAAGAAGGGCCCCACCCCCTTGCCCCGCATCACCGCCTGCCCAGCCGCTCGTAGCACGTCCAGGCTCTCGTTCTCGACCAGATGGAGGAAGCACTGTCCTTCCTGTCCCAACAGTCATGCTCCGCGTCAGACACCTTCTCAACCCTCCCCCCTCCCACGCTTCTACTCCTCCTTTGTGTCTGTCCCTTCTTCTCACCAGCCTCCGTAGCGGCGATCGCACGTAGTACCCCTCTAGCCCCACGCTCCCGCACTTGATCCTCCAGCTCGGTAGCTCCACCGACACGATCCTCTCCCTCCGGCTCGACATGACTCTCGCCGTCGCTTCCTCCAGCGACACGCCGGGCTTTCGCTCCTTCCTGCTCGCCCGAGACGACGCCGGCATGGCCCGCAAGTGCGTCACCAGGTCCTCCAGCAGGTGAAGCAGCGTCCTCCGAGACGGCAAGCTCCCCCTCAGCTCCCCCAAGTTCCTTATGCGCTGAGGTGTCAAGGGGTCGAGGACGTCGAGGAGCTTCTTGGTTTGCTCGCGGGTGACCAGAGCGTTCTGCTTATCTCTGGCCCTTTTGCGGCTGAGGTCTCTTCCAGTTATGAGCTGCTTGTTCGGCATTGTTTTGTTTCAGGTTATGTCACCTCCTCTGATTCCACTGTATTAACATTGGCTGCTTTTCATTGGGTGCTAAGTCTCATAATAACATTCCATATGAAGCACCTGGAAATCAAAATCATTTCAGTAACGCATGAATCCAAGTCACGAAGAGACTTTGGTTTGCTACTGTTCATTCACGCTCAATCTTCAAGGTTCTGTTGATACAATGTCTCACATGAATCTTTCTACTCATGTTGAAATTTCATGATCTGATCGTATCTCACAACTTCCTATCCCCACTTCACTTCACTTCTGTTCTCCTCCTCCTCCTTTCTCCTCCTCCCCTCCTCCTCGTATCTCTTCTCTCTCCTCCTCCTCCTC